TTCTGTTGTGTTGAACCTCACCCATCTTTTATTCTTTCAATCCCACCAATAACCAGTCTTTTCTCTCACTTCCATTCTCTGTAACCCCCTGTGTACTAGTGGTAATCCCACCTTGCTTGGGGTGAAATGATTAAAAAAATAATAATAATAAAAAGGTCATCAGTTTTTTTTATACTGAAAAACACTATCAATATTTAAAGATATACCTCAGATAAAAAGAGAATTTCTTTTTATTATTGAAGTTGCCAAACAATACACAGCCTTTTGAGCATCTCTTTTGAAACTAACAAGAAAATTCATTGTTTGCAGTTTTTTTTACAATTTGTATCTCCCTCCCCTCAGATATCATGATCACAGAGGTGACAGCATAAAGCTGTTCTTTTCTGCTTGAGGCTCTTTATAATGGAGTGACTTCTGCCTCTTCTCCACATGAATTGTCTTCTGAGGAGTCACAAGTTGCACTTCAGTTCTAACCTTTCAATCCATTTGATTATAAATTGGCAGGATTCTGAGCCATTATATTTGGAAATCACTTTGATATTCAACTATTTGTATCACTCTTTATCCCCCCCCCCGATGAAAATGACTGTTTCTTCTTGGTCAATGTTCTTTGTTATACTGGAATACATTATCAATATTCAACTATAACTCAGATGAGAGGAGAATACTTTTTTCTTATTGCAATTGCATTCACAGTCTATCTGGTGTCTCTTTTGACATTGACCAATAAGTCCATTGTTTTCAGTTGTCCAGTTTCTATCACACATTCAAATTGGGGTAGTTTGATAACTTGTCCAGAACTTATCCCCCATGATACTGCAAGAACTTTTGTGTAACTCTGGGTTTGCATAGAAGAACAGTATCTTGTGATTTCAGTTTCATGTTATGTTTAGGACCACTCATTCTAATAGCTTTTCCACACTGAAGAGCTTCATTTCTTGTTGACATTGAAGTCACTCCATGCTATAATGGAACTGTCATCTTCTTAGATTTAACGTAATACACAATCTAGACATCTCCAAACCCTTATGCAACCTTCAATTCGTATCATGTTTGAATTTGAGCACTTCATTACACAGAACTCTTCTCCAGCTTTGGATCTTCCACCATTAACTAATATTTGACCATGTAGGAAATTCAGTTGTCCTGGTTTTCGTATATTAAAAATCCAATCATCTGAATCTCAAACAGTTTATTATAAAAATAAAGAAAACATAGGTATGCCTGTTAAATAAATCATTTGTATTTAGAAACATATGCATATGAATTCAAATGAGTCAAAAAGGAGTGAAAATAGTTTGAGGCTGAATAGTCTTTGGCTAGTCAGTTCAAAGAAAAGTTTAGAAAAGACTTTTAAATATTTGGTCCACAGAAATAAAAAAGCTGTCATTGAGAAAAGACTTTTATCATTAGTAAAGATTTACGTCTGTTGTTGTTGTAGGAGGTGATTTGTTTAAAATTGTCAACTGGCTAGCCAATTTGTTGTTGTTGGAGATGGTTAGTTTGAAATCACTGACATATGTTTCCTTTCAGCATTCACTGGGGAAAAGAAGAAGCTATGTAACCGTGTCTTCTCTTGTGTCTGAACGGTTTGGAGACAGTCACATATCTGCTCTTTGAAAGTAAAATCTGTAGGCTTTTATAAGAAATTTATCCAGAAAGTAGGCCTGAGAAAAATAAGGTTTTAGTTTTATCTAATTGGTTAAATATTTCCCCTGGTGATGTTAATTTTTAATCAATAGACACTTTTATTTAAACAGTGTCTGTTGTATTGTGAAATCTTTTTAGCATGTTTGTAATATTGTCTGTTAGACAAATAAAATAGAAAATAAAGGTGTGTTTTAATATGATATTATGTGGCTATGTAATTGTGTTGGAAATAGGTATTATTTCCATTATCCAAATCAATCTAGCATGCTTGTGTCTTTGGTTTAATAGTGGTTTCTGGTATGATTAGAGAGATGATGGAAAATTAATTCTAATTTATACTAGACGAGTGTTAATTCCTTTCCTCTTCAGCAAAGAAAGAATCATCTATTGGTGGCTGTAATAGCATCAACTATCTCTAAGTTTTCTGAAATGGAACAAAATATTGTTATTTTAGGTAGCATTTTCTACCACCATCTTATTTTGTAAAAAATGAGACCATCTGTATTTTCATATGAAGAAGACTGTATAATGGATTGGCTGAAACATTGTGGTAACACAAAATTGAGTTCAAAATTAAAGTCTAAGGAAAATTTTCCTTTTGATTAAACTTTATTTTAGTCTTTGTCAAGTAATCTGAATGTAGGTATGGCTACAGAAGCTGGGTGAAAAGCTTCATTTTTATGTTACAAATACTTCTTTTTATATGTTCATTATAAAACATTTTAAAGAGGAAAGATTATTATTTACATTATTTGGACTATTGTCCTCATCTTTGTCACCATATTTATCACGACGTTTCGGCTGATGTACGCTCCGGCCTTCTTCAGGTGGTTGGAATGTCGAACTGAACCCTTTATTTTTCTCACCAGGGTAGACTGTTCTAGTTCCATGTGCCATGTTTGATGGATGTCAGTTATCAGTTATCTCCTGTTAATTTCCCTCTGAAAGTTCTCCACACTGAACTCACCTTCTTTGGGTCCTGTCACTGGATCTAACCAATGCCTTTATCCACTGTGCCAGGTGTCCTTGAGTATGGGTATGAATTTCTGGGTATTATAAACCTAATGTCTTCAGCAACCATTTTTACCAGTGCTCATATTGCAATTTGGTTGTTATCATTGCATGTTTTTACCAGAGCTCATATTGCAACTTTCTGTTGTTATTATTGCTTTTCTCTGGCACTCCTTATTACTGGTTCCCATGTTGTATTTATCTCTATGCTTGGTCGACTCAGGAGGTATGTGCTGATTCCTTAAGTTTACGAATTTTCCAATGGTGTTCCCTGTCTATGATCTCAACTTGATCCTACAGAGGGCGGTGATCTCCCTTCTCTCTCCATATGTGGTCAGCCACGCCCGATTTTTCTACTTCCCCTCATGTTACAGCTTTCTGGTGTTCCTGAAGCCTTACCTTGAAGGGGCGGCCTGTCTCTCCTTTATATTCCTTTCTGCAGCTGCATGGCAACAAAGATGAGGACAATAGTCCGAATAATGTAAATAATGTACATTATACCTCATCTCAGAAATATAGACAGACTAGGAAAGATTATATCAAACTTTACAAAACAGCCCTAATTTTTAAACCTCATAATGTTTTATAGTAGTGTCATCATTTTGTGGGATATCAATTGTTGTAGGGATATTAATTAACAATAGGATTTCTATGTGAGAGAGGCAATAGTGCAGTGATAATCTTGTGGTTACAAGGGAATCTTTCTTGAACAACAGATATGATAATATTACAAGTAATGTACAGTTAACATTTTTCCTTATTGGTATCACCCTAAGACACAAGGGGTTACAGGTTGTGGGAGAATCAGGAACAGAAACATTAATAACGAGCGGCAAGAGAAATGAGTAATCAGGAGGACAGTAGATAGTAATTGACATTTAAATTTTTGCAGATTAAAGTTGGCTGGAAAGCATGGAACCAGAAGCAAGTTATACAAGTAAGAAGTGTTATTTACTTACCAAAATGAAATAGGAACCAAAAAAGAGGTAAATTGAAATGTGTATATTTAGATAGCTTTATTGCTGTGTACAGTGTGTGTAAAGTTCTATTGAAAATGTTGAGAGACATACATTTTATGAAGAATTCCTTATTGTTACATATATGTAAAATACATGCTTTTTTATCATTGGGCTATAAACTTACTAATTATCTACATAAATAAATAAATATGTAACCTAATGATGGATAATGTATTTATTTCACACAATGTTGATTTTTTAACATAATCTTCTTTCTTGTCAATGCCAATATTTCTCTATTAATTACAGTGATCAAACATTGAGTGAAGAGTTCAGGTCAAAATGTAGCTAATAACTGTGTCAGGATATAAACTTATTGATACAGGATTGTGCATATTTTAACATATCCTCTTTAATATTGGGGAGACAACTTTTCTTGATCTCTCTAAGACCATTTTAATAATATTTTGCATCTTTAACAAGGAGTTATTAAGAAGAAAGTAAGAGGAAGCTGTGGAAAGCCATGATTACACATGTTTTGGAGGGACATGGCACATATAGAGAGAACTCAGTTAACTTATTTATAAAGTAGAAATGCAAAATGATCAGGAAAAAAGGTTTTTCAGCAGGAAGCAATCTATTTTTTTTGAGGGTAACTTTTGTTAAGACTAACCTTCTGTTGCAAAGTTTCTGCCTGGATATTCTTAGCTTATTAGGTTTACTCATACCCACAGACATGGGCAGATAGTTCAAATAACACATTAGCATTTATTGATTTTATTGTAAGTGAAGAACTTATTCCTAGTTACAAATATGAAGCATTTTCTTCTCATATACTCATCAGTTATGCAGATATTGTAAGCAATAGAGATCACTAACAGTCCTTTCAAAAATAGATTCTTGAAATATCATATAGAATAAACACAGCTGTAAAACATTATGATTTTTAAAAGAAAATTACTCAGTAATTGAATGTAGATATCAAGGGTCCATGTAACTTATACTGGTTTTTATTTTGTAAAGACATAATAACATATCAGCTGTAAGAAAAATAAAATCAAAATCAAAATTACTGAATCTAGATTGAAACTTTAGAGTTAATTAAGTCAGATACTGAAATCCAAAGGGGTATTGGGATAGCAAAAGATGCCTTTGAAAATTTAAGGAAACTGATTGGCCTTTCAACCCTTTGCAGAAATTTTGTTTATTTTTTGAGTCTTAACACATAACTGGGGGGCTGGGGGGTTGAAGAGATGGATTCATACCTTTCTCAATGGTATTTGCTCATAAGTTAATACAATGAACCCAACTGGAATTGGAACTTGGCTCTCCAATTAACAATTCCAAGCCATTATCCATTACACCACCTACACATCCAAGCTTACAGCACCTGGTGCTCCCAAGCAGTCACCCATTTGACCAGGCTCAACTTGGCTTAACTTTGGTGTTCATATGGAAACTGATGTTTCAATGTGATATGACCTAAAATCTAAAAGTATTAAGAGAAAAATTTCATTAGAGACAAAGGAAACAGAAATGTTATATCAGTCAGCAGTTAATGTCGGACAATCTCCTCATAGATGAAGAGGAGACTTGAAGGAACAGAAATGTAGCTCTACAGAAGGATGCTGAGAATACCATGGACTGAACATGTGAGCAACATCAAATTTAGCGAAACAAAAAGGACACTTATACTTAACATCAGGAAGAGACTGTTGAAATTTCTAGACTATATTAATGAGGAAAGAAGGCTGGGAAAATTTGATGCTCACAGAACAGATTGACAGAGAGGATAAAGGAAAAAATGCATAATCCACCTAGCAAACTGGAGGAAATAGATGGTGGAACAGGGTTTAAGAGAGATAAAAAAAGAAAAGATTTTTAAGAGCTACAGAAGACAGGAAATCGTGGAGAGCCATGAATGCCTACATCCTGAAGGTACACTGCACATAGAAGAAGAAGCCTGATACCAGCTGACATGGTCACTTGTTCTTAAAATGAATCTCCATATCTACATAAGATATGGAGAAATATAATCTCCATATCTACATAAGATATGGAGAAATATAATCTCCATATCTACATATATAATGTAATTATACATGTAGATAAATAGCAAGATTTTATAAATTATTAATGCCTCTAATTTGATTATAGAATATGTTGATTGTAAGTTTATTTATAAATCTTTAATGAAGCCAACGATTGTTGCGAAAGGCTGGAATGTCCACCTTATGTAAGAATCTAAGCTTTCTTAAAGCTGATGAGTAAACACCAAACATATTTTGGCCTTCTCCTCATAAACTCCCCTGTAGAGCATTGGGGAGGGGGGGAGGCATAGCCTCAACATGATAGTATTGTAGCTGTGGTTTCTCTACCAACTAGGCTAGTATGGTGGAGTTGCCAACCCCATGCCCAACCAGTTTTGAATTTTGAGTTATCCTTCTTCTAGATTGTCCTGTTATTTAACCTGTAGTGTGGGGAGAAGAAATGGACTTATATCTTCCCCAATGTTAATTTTGCAAAAGTTAATCTAAACCTTGGTCATGATTTGAACTCAGCATGGTGATCCCACTTTATGCTTTTGTAACCACTATGCCACATGCACATCCTAACAATCTAAAAAACTTTCCAAATTGTATACAAGACCTGATAATTGTTTAATAAGTATGGATGTACAATTTCCCCTCAAAGTGGTTGTTGACAATATCAAATAGGAAATTGAGGCAACAAAGACATGACATTTGTGACATTCTCAGCATTCTTTTGTAGAATACAAAATGATGCTGAGAATGTCATGAAATAATGAAGAAATTTGAAAGAAAATGAAAACAAAAGGGAGTATATACTAAATAGTAGGAAGAGATGAATGAAAATTCTGGGACACTTTCAAATTTGATGAAAAAAGGATTTAGAAAATTTAACATTCACAGGACATTGTTGTAGAGTAGTTTTCACAGTTGAGGCTTGTATTTCACTAAGTCGTCCTAAATTAGGTTAGACGTACAAAACATTAGGAACTTGAAATAAGAGTTAATGACGCAGCAATCTAGTTGTGATGGTTGATACTTCAATGTCCAACATCGACTGACTCACTCAACACCACTGAGCCCAACTGGCGACTGCTACTACTACTTATTATCTGTGGGAGAGTCTATTACAATAGACTAGGTATTATGGTATAACAGACATATTGAAGGCAAGCACAGTAGATGAGGAAAATTGAGTAACCTACATAATAAGCTTGTGTAAAGTGATGGCAGAACAGAGAGTAGGATGGATAGTAATGAGACAATCTATGAAAAATAAATAGTTGTAGAGAACCATGATCACCCATGGCAAATAAAAGAATATTTTCTATTGAGATGTGTGGGTAATGAAGACTGGAATCAGCAAGTTAAAATCCTGATCTAGTCTGTTATGTTCATTTTCACACAAATGCCCTTCAGAAAGTCATAAATATGTCTCTTCTCCCCACCCAGCCATGGGTTAAAAAGCAGAATAAACTGAAATCTCTAGCCTTAGATGTTAACCAGTTTAAGGAAAACTCTGAATGTCCAACTGTGGAGAAGGCAACAGGAAACCAATCAACTAACTTTCCCAGGAAGTCATGACAATTCACAAATGATGAAGGAACATTATATGTGGTGAGCCATGATCAACTTCATCCAGAATGGACATGGTTCAGGTCTTTGCATTTGGTAACCTCAGAATTCCATACCAAGTCAAGTACAAGGGAAAACCATTTTCATTTCATGCTATGGGGATGCTTTATACCAGTTAATACTCACCAGTTTTATTTACCTTTTTATCGCTGAATCAATGTCTACGACTTTTCAGCACTACCAGAACCAGGAATTGAATTTAAAATTTTCAGGGAATCAGATATAACTAATTCTTTAGTTCACTAGTCTCTTGGACAATTTGTAGTGAAATTCTTGGTATTTAAACCTAATGTCTTCACTCAGCTGATGGAATTCTTTTTGAGGCTTCCCAAATGGTATTTCTATGCCAGGTCTACTGAGATGGTTGTCAATGTGAAACATGTGAGCTGAAACATTCAGTTGTCTTATCCCCTGTGTTTAACAAGCAAGATGGGCATCCTGGTCAAAACAACAGCATCTTCTTATAATAATAATAATAATAATAATAATTTCTCATCTCAAAAATTCCAACAATAATTAATATTTTCCAGTTTGCATACAAGAATTTGGTGCAATATGGAATGAAAAGAATTTTAATTGTATCTCTTTCATTTAGCATCTTTTAGTCATATTTAAAAACTGTGTAAAATGTTAGTTTTTTTCTGATAAAAAAATATTTAGCTGAATACAAGTTGAATGGAGAGCAAAATTGAAATAATCATAATTATAACAATAATTCTAATGGTTTTTATTTTTTTCATTTTCATTATTTCAAGGATTGTAAAAGATCATTTTTTAGATTAGTCTGGTACAATTAATATAAAGGCCACATTGTTCCTAGTAAATTACTGAATGGAAAAATGGCACAAATGTGCAAATAGATCCCCAAGGAGGCATGACTTTATCAAATGCAAAGATTGTGCATTATTTTTTGATAATGGATAAGCTGACATCAGTCATTTTTTCTTTTTTATTTTTGTCTAAGAAAGGTTTAGGTTTACATTCTGATATGTTACCACATGCTTACTTAACTTCTAGTTAGGGGAACTTTTTTTTTTAAAGATATTTCAAAATTTAATATTTAAAAGATTAAACATTAACAGATAAGTCAACATTAACAGATAAGTCATAGTTTGTCAACTTCTTCCTCATGCACACTCTTCAGAAGGAGAAGAGAGGAAGAATCCCATTACTTATGCAGGAGTTTCAATAGGGTTTCTTTACATTGCAAGTGCTGTAAACCTGAATTTGATTCAACTCTAGTTTGTATGAAACCATTGAATTTCAGTGTGGGTGAGTTAGAAACAGATAGCAATCTTTAACCTTTTTGTCTGGCATGTCAGAAGAAGGTTTTTCTCTTGACATCACCATCATTCCTTGGCAATGTTTATTATTTTAAAAATATGCTATTAGCCTATCCTGTGAGAGAGTTGAGAATATTCTACACAATGAACTTGGTATAGGTTTTTGTTCAGTAGGTGCCACATCTTCTGACACCTGATCAAAAACACACCAGGCTGATCACATCACAGGAAAATCAGACATTGTTTGAGGCAGATCCAGCTGGTTTCCAGAATGATAGTTTTGTTCATCACTTTAAGCCAGAAGCAAAGAGACAATCTATGAAGTGGAAACACTCCTCAACTGCTCCAAAGAATGGCAAGGTCATTTCATCTGCAGGGAAGGTGATGGCTGCAGTTTCTTTTATATATGAAATAGCAATATATATTTTTATATATCAAAAAATGTAAGACAAAGTGGAAAAAAGTTCACTTGTGATGAGTTTCATCTTTCAGGATTTCATCGGACTAAATTTGTTATGTTGGTATGACTACACATGTGCACGAATGATGGATGCATGAATGAGGGATTTTAGCATATTTTTTTCAATATCTAGCAAAATTCATTGAGTCTTTTCCTTTTTCTTTCCATCACTTTTGTTAGTAGGTATCTGTCATAATAGAAGATCTGCTACGAATGGTGAATGGTGCCAAGGTGTAAATTTCAAAAGTGGTATGATATATATATATGTATATATACACACACAGGTAGTAATCTGTTAGTATATAATCCAAGTGAATCCTATTAGCACAATATTAAATATTAAAACTGATCCACACATAGAGCTCAATGTTTTTTTTTTAACAAACAGAGCAATTTATTTCATACAATCAGAAATGAGATCAGTCAGTTATGTGCCACGTGTGATAGACACTTAGGCGATCATGTATCTTTTGATACATGACTGATGCGGTAGGTTGCCATTTCTTTCTGTGGCAAACCAGTTGCCATCCAAGGCTATAGAACCCAGTCTGTTCTGCTATTTATCCATAGCTGGGAGGAGAAGAAGAGGACGCATACCTTTCCTAAGGATATTAGCACGTGAGTTAATGTAATGGATTCAACTGAAATTTGAACCTGGCTCTCTGATTCCTCAATCTGAGCCACTATCCATTACTTCACCATGCCTCCCTTAAGATACCATTCTGTAAATGATCATTTTCACCTTGTAAAATTACAAGAATTTTACAAGGATTTTTCAAACAGTCAATGGATGATAAAGTTTTGAAATGAAAAAAACAAACAAGGGGGAGTAAAGAAAGGAAGAAAAAAAGAAGATGAAGAATAGAAAGGAAGGGGAGATGGCAATGGCAATAGGAAGCAGTGTAAGTCTTGATATGAGTGGTGGTCAAAGGGGAAAGAGAGAGAAAAGGAAGGAAAAGTGAAAAAGAGATGACCTATTTAAATATACCCAATAAAATAAGACCAAAGGAATTTCCATGAAAAAAACAAATACTACATAAAATAAAAAAAGAGATAAACCCAAAAAATAATTCAGAATTAAAAAGTAATAAATTAACTGATATGTATGAATAGAATATTATGGGAAATAAAAAAAAAAATTAATATAAAGCTGGGGGGGGGGATATAAATATTGAGGGTGAAAACATCCAAATTAACATAAATCAAATTAAATTTATGTTAAATTAATACCCGTCCCACAGGAAAAATTTATGGGTAATTTGCTTTTTAAACCCTGCGCTAAATATGTAATAAAAATTTGCTGAATAGTTATATTTAGGTGTAAATACATATGCTTAATTTGAAAATAATTAATTTTGGAATTATCAACAATAAAAATTTGGACTCATTTGCATCACAGCTACCATTACTGGCGTTGGTTACATATATTTGCTGTGGAACAGTCTTGATTGTTGCACATGCAATGAGTCCTCAGTTGCACAGTAATTGAATCAAGTAAGAACCATAAAAAGAGTGTTAACAATGTAATCTTCTGTGCAAATCTAATCCATGGCAAATATATACAAACAACGCCATTAATGGCTGCCGTGCCATAACACAAATGAGTACAAACTTTTATTGTCGATAACTCCTATACAGTAGATTTTATCACTATATCAATATATTAATTAATTAAAGTAACAAAATATTTAAATAAATGAAAAATATTACAAAAAACTCTTAACTGAAATTAAAATATTAAAGACAAAACAAAAACAAAAGTAACATCAAAAAATTTTTATAAATTGCTTAAAATTTACAGATGCCACTTCATCAAACCTCATAATGCAATATATATTAATAAAAACACTTTAATGCTACATATCAATATTATATATTAAAATATGCCCCACATATTAAATATAAAAAGCCCCATAATATTAAAAGATAATACTTAAAATTAGACATACTATATATATAACTAAGTTATATTAAGATATATTGTTATTAATATATAATATTGTAGTGAAAGTATAATACTTATGTGTAAACGTAATTAAGGATTCAATAAAGATACTTTCAGGTAAAAAAAAATGTCAATAAGGGAAATATTAAAGATATTGATAGTCACCAAGAATTAAGTAATTTAGTGATTGAGAAGAGATATTTTTGTAAATTGTAACAGAAGAGAAATTTAGAAAGAATATATAAAAAAGAAGTGGAATATACAGTGTAATTGTCAAAGACAGCAGTTCATGTACTTGTTAAAGGATAACAGTTCACTCAGGACTGAAGAGGGGCAGAAATTCACATGTAATTTTCAAAGGATGACAATTCATTCAAGTTCATTAAGAGTCTAGATAAGATTAAATCTACTGTGGTAACAGCATTTAGAAATTAGTTCATTCCTTTGTTTTAACAGCATTTTCGATTTCTAAATTTAATAATTCCAATTTTTTCTTGTAGGCATAGATTGCATCAACCATTAAAACTAATTACTAGGAGTGTGGGTAAACCCTATAATTTTCCAGTCAATCTGAGGGTTCAGTTCTTTCTCCCTCAATTCCCAAATTTTTTTGAAAAGTGCAGTTTGGAATTTCAATTTTGGGTTGGAAAAATGAGTGCCAATGGGCAACACAGATGTTGCTTCCATTCCCCCACAGAAATTCCAATATAAATGTTGTGATTGTTCTTGTTCTCTTTAGGGTAAATGGTTGCCTGGCAAATTATATTAGAGGCCCTGCATTTTCCTTCTACTGGACAGAGTTCACCATTTCTACAATTACATGGGGTATCCATACTAGGTAAATTGTTGATGCCATAGAATTTATTAACAACTTTATTATGGGAATCAATAATTTTATACATATTTTTTGTACAAAGATAACTTATTTTAATCATTTTTCTATTGAAGGCACTACTTAGAGGATAGTTATTTTTGAAATGCTTGTTTATGAGTTTTAAGAACACTTGTCCTATGTTAATTTTAGATAACCTACAGAAGGTGGGGTTGAACCATATTACATTTCTTTTTCTATTTCTATGCTTATTATTATTATTCTTATTTACATTAATGTTATTTGTAGGGTTCAAGTACAAAAGTTCATTTTTATAACCACTTTTTTGGAGTGTCCCATCGTACAATCCTTTGTTTTTATTAAAAATATATTTATTAGAGGAAAGTTTACTAATCCTAGTTCCAACAGTGAGAGGTATCAGCCTTAAAATAGCATCAAGGTGGTTTGAGTCTACATTAATGTAGTTAGGAGTTTCATGATCTTTATGGTAAGGTATTGCTGTTCAGGTCAAGAGTGATGTCCAAATAATCTACAATTTTTAGGTTAGATATCTATCTTGAATCCCAGAAACTTGAAAGCATTAATGTTTTTTTCTGCAGTTTAATAGTGAGTGGACTATTGCTATTAGGAACGTAATTTAGTCCATCATCTCTATATAGACCTGCTTCGGATCTATGATTCTACTAAGGATCTCAAGAATATATAGACAAACAAGATCAGCTACCTGGGCCGAAGTGTCAAGAGTGATTTCCTGGCTGTAAGAATAATATTGATTACATCATCTGTTATGTCCATGTGGTTTTTTGCAAAATTAATGTGGTTAACCAATAGATTCCTAGATATTGAAGAATAAAAATCAATAACGTCAAATTTAATGAAGTTGGCTTTCTTTTTATCACTTATATTACTATTTAATGGTATCAGAAGAGTCCTCCCAAAGATTGGCCCTGGTAGGGATCACAAGTTTATCTGTAATTTTTTTAATAATATTTTTAGAAATTAAGCCTATCTCTGATTTGGTAGGATTAGTCTAGTTTGAGTGTTATTAGAGAAGTTAGGTTTATGATCTTTGAACAAGATATAGGTATATTTAGTAGTTTCCCCATTTTATCTGCAAATGGCTAAATCAGTCATCACCTTATTAATTTCAAAGAACCAATTGTCAGGTTTATCTTTTTTTGTAATTATCTGTTATTTTGTTAGTTAAGATTAAGATTTTTATTTCTTTTAATATTCGATTCAAACATATTGGTTAAGTTATTACTCTTTAATGTTTTGGCGTTTATCTCTTTTTATTTTATATAATATCTGCTTTTTTTTTCATTAAATTCTGAAAGTTTCTTTGGCTATTCTTTTTTTTTTTACTGGGTATATGTCATCTCTTTTACACTTTTCCTTCCCTTTCTCTCACTTTCCCCTCTGACCATCACTCATATGAAGACTTACACCACTTCCTGTTGCCGTTGCTACCTCTCCTTCCTTTCTATTCTTCATCTTTTTTTTCGCTTGTTTTTTTTTTCTTCTATTCTTTACTCCCCCTTATCTTTTTTTTTTTTTTATTTCAAAACTTTATCATCCATTGGCTGTTTGAAAAATCCTGTAAAATTCTTGTAATTTTACAAGGTGAAAATGATCATTTACAGAATGGTATCTTAATTCTGATTGTATATGATATATAAAAAGGTCAACTCCCCAGGACTCCTCATTTGTTTGCATGTGTAGTCACACAAACATAACAACTTTAGCCTGGTGAAGTCTTGAAGTAAACTTTTTCAACTTTGTCATATATCTCCATAGAAATAAAAATAGATTGTCAGAGAAATAAGAGGTAAAAATGAAAACACAGAAAAATACAAATAGTTAAACATGAAGACATTATTATAAAAAAGAGAAAATTAATTTAAATCTTTTTAGTACTTTTTATTACAAAATTTCTGTTCCATTCTCACAGTAAAGGTATTAAACTAATGTTTGGTTTTATATTAACATTTATCTTTTTCTGTCATTTCAACATCTTCATCTGAATCTTGAAGAAGTTTATCTTCATCAATGTCTTCAATGTCATCAATTTCATTCATGTTTTCGTCATCTTTGTTTTTTGTAAGGTTTTTGTCTTCTTTGTTTTCTATAACGTTTTCGTCTTTTTTGCTTTCTGTAACGTTTGCGTCTTCTTTGCTTTCTGTAACGTTTTCGCCTTTTTTGCTTTCTATAACGTTTTCGTCTTTTTTGCTTTCTGTAATTTTCATTTCTTCATCTTCACCAACAGTCATTTTCCCTTTTGGCTTCACAGATTTATCAGCAGATGTGATTTGCTTTTGCTTATTTTCCTTTAAGTCCTGAACAGAAACTTTGATCATTTTAATTTTCGGCAAATAACTGTAATGGCCATCCCAGTTTCTGGAAAAAGAACACAAAAACATTAAAGTTATTAATATGAATATTTGATGTAAAATAAAAAGTTAAATCCCATGTACAATTTTATAAAAGACAGCAAATTTATTTAAAAAAAAAAAAAAAATGACAGAATATAACTGAAATTGTATATCATTGTATTAAAGTATCCCATTTATAAGAAAATATAAACACTGTGTAAAGTAGATCACATAGTAGCTGTAATGTAAGTGTGCACATTGTATTGTCTTTATTGACTACTTAATATTATAACTGTAATCCAAGACATGAAGGGCATCAAGTGGAAAGTCAAAGATTAGATTACCAAAAACAAACCACTTATCTCCCTAAAGAAACAGTGTCACACGAACACATTTGCTGTGCTACTAATCAGTAAAAGCTGTTGCTGTTTGGAACAATGACTTTACCTTCAACAAATACATAAAAACAATAATGGCTTTTGCTGTTCTAAGTAGAGAAGTGCAACAGTAAAGCACATTTGCTATAAATCAATGCATTTTGATTAAAAAAATATGTCCTGATTCTGCAGCAGTAATAATTCTATTCAAATGGCTAGCAATATCCACCTTCAAGTTGGATTAAATTCTTTCAAAAAGGACAGCAGTTGAAACATTGCATTTCTACTTATAACTTTTTGTACCAATAAAATAAACTGGACATTTCAAGTGAAGAGAAGATTACAAAACAAACAGGAAAAAAAAATGACTTGGGGGGGGGGGAATTCTTGAGATTCTAACAGATTAATAATAAGAAACCAGAAAAAATAATTAATTATTTAATCATAACAAATCCAAAGAGAGGTTAAAACAAAAGAATAACCCAACAATACAATAACATTGAAAAAAGAAAAAAAAATCCCTGTGCTGTAAATATTGGAATATTTAGATATCTTAAAAATTTCTGATCATGTATGTATGTTGATGCTATGGAAGATAAAATTAACTGCACTAGGATAATCCCTGTTTGGTATTAACATAAGAAAAACTATTTTCTATGTGATTTCTCTACAATTTCAAAAAGAAGCAACTATGTAAAGTGGGGAAAATAGAATAAAGCAAACCATCTTCCTGGCCTGTGGGGTTGAGAAAGGAAAGAAAAAGATTCAAAATGGCGTTGACTTTAATATTCATCTCGTGCAGCAGTCAAGAAAGACCAGACATGCTAATGAGGTGTGTCTGGGCTCCATAAAAGCAGGTTGCTTGGAGAATTGTCAAATGAATTGAAACTTTTCAGACGGAAAGAGGTTCAGTTTAATCTTCAGACATGGAAGATATTGGAAAGGAGTGGTAGAATTGAAAAAGCTGGTCTGTGTAAAATTAAAGATTGGTTAATCTTAGACACAGGAAAACTAAGGGATGAAAAAAGGAAATAAAACAATTCAACTACTTAATAATTAAATGAAGAGGACAAATCTAGGATGGCAGGAAGGAAAAGCATCGTCAAGGCTCAATGAGAATTACTGGCCAGAGCCCGGAAATAAAGAGCAAGAATAATAAATGAGGACATAAGGTGCTATAAATATCTGGGAAGTAGATTCTAGTAAACAAAGTGATATAAGGAGGAAAATGAAAAAAAATAATACCACAAAACTATTAGTAGATATTTGTATTATTCTTTTGCATTCAATGTTGTTTTGATTTAATTTCAATAGAGTAAATTGAATTCTTTCAAAGGCTTGAACTACAAAGTGAAGAAATTCTGGAATATAAGAAAGGGACAAAATTATATTAAAATTGAAACGGGAAACGAATATAGTGCAAGAGCAATGTTACAATGGACACCTTCCTCGCGGGTGGCTGGATTGCGACCAGGTGCGGTGTAGGTGGTCACGCGGTTATTCATTATAATTGAATTGCTAGAATAGAAAATTAGACAAAGATTTGAAACGAGATAGACAACAGCAATACTATAATCTATATTACTCTAAACTTTTATAATATAATAATAAATATATTAATTACAATCTATAATATAATCTATAATACTATATTTGTGGAATAAACTCTCAAGAGGATGTTTTCTCAATCACTGGAAATGGAATCATTAAATTGAAAAATTGGACATTGCATCACCACCCTCCTCAATGAAGGGTGAGCTGAAAATATTGGTTTCCATTCAATCAGTAAAGTTGACTTGAGCCTGGTCAGAACTTAATGTGGGACTGTTTGCAAACACTGGGTAAAACCTCCTACAATCCAAAATATATTTTGTCTTTAAATAACATTTATACAAAGTTGATAAACTTAAAGTCATATATATATATATATATATATATATATATATATATATATATATATATATATCAATCCTCAAACTATTAGTAGATATTTGTATTATTCTTTTGCATTCATCACTACTATAGAGTAAATCTCTTAAGTCTAAGGTCAACCTAGAATAGAAAATTAGACAAATTTGAAATTGATCTACATATCCTCAAAATATCTACTTTGTCCTTTTATAATATAATTTGACTTATGTGGAATAAATTCATGTTTTCTCAATACTTAAATAACCCCATTCAGTAAACTTCAAAATATATTTTTTGTTTTAAATAACATGGATATATATTGTATTAGATGAACATTTACTTAAAAAATAATTCAGCTAAGATACTGTAACCCCATTCAGATCTCCAATGAGAACATTTACTTAGATGTTTCATAAGATACTGGATCTCCAATGAGAACAATAGAATATATATATATATATATATATATATATATATATATATATATATATTTGGGGGGGATTTTCAGTAAAACCATTAAATTGATTTAATAAACTGAGATTTGAAGAAAAAAAAATTAGTCTTCACAAAAAAAAATAAAAAAATAAAAAAAAATGGAAACTTGAACTGTTTTTTTTTTTTTTAGTCTTCGTAGCAGCAGACAACTGTTTTTGGAGACCTTGAATTTGGCTTCTTTTTTTTTTAATGTTAAATGCATTATTTTATAACATAATAGGTTAAACCAAATTATGCTGAAATCTGAAATAGAAAAAAAATCTTTTCAATAGCTTTAAGGTCAAGGATTTACAAGCTAAAAGGAGTCAATAGTGGGTTAAACAGATGATGGATTTTTTAATAATTGACTTATTAATCTTCTGACTAGTATTTCTTTCATCATAATTTCAGTTGTTTTTTATGAAGACTCTTAAACTGTAATTCTGGTTGCCTCATTGGTAAAGCAGCTGTTACATTGAGTGGCTTCACATAGAAAATGAATTTTACTGGATGATTATTCTTTACTTCAATATATAATCTTATTAATGACTGCAGAATGAAAATTTTCGCTGAAATATATTCATCACATGTAAAAAAGGAAATAATTCAATATATCATTTTCTGCTAGGTTTGCCTTTTTATACCAGTTTATATTTGTATAATTTCCATTTGGAAATTTTTAGAATAAGTATAGACAAGAAAAAATGTAATTCTATACATGAAGTAGGAATTTATAAATCAAAATAAAAAGACACTTATCTATAAGTTGAAAAACAAAAAAAATTGTTGAAATGATTCAAGATTTCAACATTTGTCAAAAAGCTAAGTTATCATATGATTATAATCAACTTTATTTTTCATTCTATTCTTAATGATTTAGTTTCTGTGGGTGACAAAGCAGACAACAATAAAATGTAAAATAGCAATTTTTCCCATTTTTAGCAGCCTGTGACTATAAAACTGTAAAAAATAGAAATAAAATAGAAACAGGTATGTTTTCTCTATACATTGGACTATAGGTCTATCATATATCTTCTCAGAATGCAAAGTTATGAAGTGTCAAAGTTGGCAAATTGTGCTATTTTCGAATCAGCAAAAACTGACACCAAATTTCAAGAGTCCATAGAGTTCATACTTTCTCATCCATGGGTACAACATACTAAAATCAAAATCTAAGATAGAAATTTCCAAAAATTTAGTTGAGTTGATATGGAATTACATGAGTACATTTTCAGTAACCAAACATTAAATTTTTTTTTTTTTTTTTTGGTTAAATAAACTGGAGAAAACAAGATACCAAGGGTGGGGTGTATATGTGAGGGGATGGGGTGAATTTGTGAAATAACAGGGACATTTCATGACTGTCAGTCACTTCCTTCTTTCATTCTTAATGAATATCTCTTTTCTACTGAGAGGTAGGAAATGTTTTATGCCAAAAAATATAATTTGGGATTTAATATACAGGGTGATGCAAAAGTCATGTACCATAGGGGTTAATGAATAGTTTGAAGAGCTCCTGTAGAGTGGCCACCGAAGTGGATTTTTTCTGTGAGGCCATTTGAAATCAGTTGTTTATCAGGAATTTAAAGAAAGAATTAAATATGAATGCTGTAAAATGACAGAAGAAACTCTCCAACATGTTAATGAATCATGCAGGCACAGAATTGAAATATGTTTTGAAAAAGAAGGCAGACATTTTGAACAGCACATACAACTAGTAAATAAGATTTTCATGTGGTATTATACTTTTAATAAATTATCCCCATGGTGCACAACTTTTGCTTCACTCTGTGTAATAATAATGTCTAAAAAATAACAAGTCTCACTAATATACAATAATAGTAAACCTTACTCCAATAGTTTGTATCACTGAGAGAAGAACATGATTTAAGAAAATAAAAAGAAAAGACAGTATTTCTTCTTTAAATTATGTTTAAAAAATGCATACAAGTATAAAACTATAAAAAATACAAGTCTTTGTGCAAACATAGCTTATCTTGAGAAAAACAGCTGAACTGATAAGCAAATGAAATGCAGCCTGTGTGTAACATGATGGGGATTGTGCTCATCTTTAAATTTTCTGTCAGTTGATTAATAATTAAGACCAATTAATCAAATAGTTTAATATAAATCTTATGTAAATCTCCTGTCATTTTGTTCATGTTTGGAGTGGGACATTAATAGATTTCAGATGTAATTATCTTCATGCATTTTAAGAATTGAAAGGTCGGTAGATTCTGAATATTTTTTCAGAATGTATACCATAAGGCATTTGTTGGAATTGCAGTTGTTAGTGATAAAATGTTCTGAAAATTCTGTTAATGTCACATGTATCAGACATTATACTTATGGTCATTAAATCTTATTTAATTTTTCAGTTGTGCAACCCACATAAATATAGGTCATGTTGGGTACATGGGGTGGTGAATATAAAATGGGAACCAGTACAATTGCCACCTTCTGAAGAAATTGTAATGTTTTTCTTTGAGTTTATTATGGAATTGACTTTTGTTGTTGTATAACAAACAGGGTTTTCCTCTTCTATGACTCTTTTCTGGAGTATAACAATCGGAAACCCCAATGGAGTTTTGAGCGTGATCTTTTGCATCTGTTAAGATTTGTCTGATGTTTTTGTTTCGTTTCAAAGAAACTGACAAGAAGAGAAGGAAAAATCTTAAAACCTGGTTTATTTTTTAGCAATATTTTGATAGTTGTTGGCCAGTGTTTTCAAAATGCCAGCAAAATTTTAGTGCCAGTTGATTAAGAGAATTTGGTCAGAATTTTTATTGTACTTGTCAGTGTTTTGATCTGGAGTAAAATTATGACAATTGTTTAATTTTTAATAATAATAATAATAATAATAATAATAATGTCTAAAAATAGCAAATTTCAATAATATAAAACAATAATAATATCATCATCATCTGAAAATAACAAGTCACACTTTAGCATCCAACACACCCAAACCCACCCCATGTATACTATAACATCACCGCAAATAATGCAGGAAGTCATGTAAACAGCAAGACTAAGAGCTGATATATACAGGACAGGTTTGAGCATGTTGAATGCTAAAAGGTTAAGAGGGGAGGTTGGTTGATGCAGACGCAAGATTGAGAGGAAAGTCAATTATCAATTATTGGAATAAATAAAAAGAAAAATATAAGATGATGAAAGAAACGAAACAAATCTTAAAAGAAAAAAAAAAAAAACTTACTTCAGAATATCACAGTTTTCTTGAACAATGAGATTAGGAACTTCTGTGAAACAAAGGCAAAAAAAAATATTTAATTTTAGAAAAACTTTCAAATAATCAAAACAGGACAGTTTAGGATAAAAAAAAAATCTGTGGCAGCCAGAAAGTTTGTATTAATTTTATTGTAAGAGAATATTAGCAGAGTATTTCATTATAACTGTATGCAAAAAAAAAATTTTTTTTGATTGCTTTATGGCAGCTGTTATAGCAGTAAGCATTAAAAAGGCTAATCTTGGAACTTCGTACCTGCAAATAAACATTGTCAAAAATGTATAAATTCACTTTCATGCTTAGGTTTTATTACAATTCTAATCATCACTTTTTTAAACAGTAAGCATAGCCAAAGGATGAATGTAGTTAAAATAATAGCAATGTCAAGTAAAAAAAAAAAAAACTGTCCTTTTAATACTCTGTTTTTTATTTGCGGGAATGATGATCCAAGTTTTTATTAAAATTAATAGATTTTATTATTTCCTGGGAGAAAGTAAGCAACATTTTGGGGATATATCTCTCTCTCTCTCTATATATATATATATATATATATATATATATATATATATATATATATATGAATAAAAATATATGGAAAAACAAACAAAAATCCTAATGGTCTACTAGACCGAAATGTCCGACGTTGACATTATATTAACATTAAAACAGCACAATTGCATATTAGGATTTTGTTTGTTTTTCAGTATATTTTCTTCATACTGTCGGATCTATATCCATATATTTTTATATATATATATATATATATATATATATATAAAACAGAAAATGTCTGTGTGTCTGTCTGTCTGTATGATACCTTTTCATTTGAGATCCATCAAACTGATTTTGATCGAACTTGGCACATACATTGTACAATGTTACAGATAGGTTCTTAGTGTAAAAAAATCAATAATTAAAAATCGATAAATTCAACTCTTTTCCTCCAATTGTTCAAACATAGCTTGTATATTACTTACATCATGACAAGCTCAATGATACCTCATTTTTATTTCTACGCCACTGTGTTTAGTGAAAAACCACAAAAAACGAGAAATCGATTTCAACATATTTTTAAACTAAAAACTCCCTCAATTTTCAAGCAATCTAAAACAAACTTCAGTCAACTGTAGCCAACAATAAGTTGATTGTTTAAGTCATTTAACTTGATAATTGAACCAACACATATAATGAAAATTCACGTAAATAGTGAAAAAAGGGCAATTTTTACTGTTTTTTTTCTTATTTTTCATTGATCTTTCAAACAATTTTCATCAAACTTAACAATAACTTTATAAATGTATCCTCTTTTACATCCCTGGTAGCACACTGACAAATTGAATTTCAAAAACTCCAAAATAATTGTGGTCTGAAGTGGGTCTTCATGTTGCCTGTTTCACCTCTTCATTTTCTCAGCTACTTCTGTTATATCAATAACTGCATTAATTCAAAATGTTTTTAATGAAAGTACTTTAAAGTTGAAGAAGATAGTCTCTGTTACATCTAAACCTAATGCTGTTTTTGCTCCATTCTAATTGAACCCTTTTTCTGATTGACCAGCTGTATATAGCTGCTAGTTTATTTTTATTTTAGGAAATGTGAAAATATAAAAATTCTAAAAAGGATTAATTCATGGATAAGTTACTGCCAATTTGTGCTGGAAAGTTCTCAGTGAACAATGCTTTATAGTTGGACATGATAATTACATTGACTGCAATCAAACCAAGGCATTATATAGCATATGTGACAAATATCAAATTTTCAATTCAAGTATTGAAAATCATTTGTACCTGTTGACATATGCTAATAATTTTTATGTATGACTTGCATAGAGATTAAGAAAAAAAAAACATCAAAACAAAATACCTATTGGACCATGTGTGTGTGTTTTGCTAAACATTATGAAAACATTTTTTTAAACAAATTGTAATGAGCTATAAAAAGAGGAACTAATATGGAACACAAGAGGCACAGTAACAAGTGGAATGAATGTCTATTAATTCTACCAAAGTTAGTCTGGAAAGGATTCCTTTACTATGAGCTATTTCTGGAGAACCAAATGATTGATTCAAACAAGTACAGCCCCTAATTAGACCAACTGATGGTCTAATTAGGAGTGATGTAGGTAATTAACAAAACAAATCTGGAATTAGATAAGAGAAGGAACATAATATCTCATCAGGATAATTCAAGAATACAGGTTTTTTGGACCAGACAAAAATGATTAGTTTGGTTGGAAAGATTCTACATGGACTGTATTCAAAAGAAAGATTGCATTCTTTATATATGTTCATAGGAAAATTAATAAACCCATAAACAAATGATGAAAAAAACATTTACTTCAGATAACTAATTTTCAAGATATTGTCAATGCACTTAATTCAATGGTAAATACTAATTAGATACAATTAAAATTTAAAATAAAAATTCATTTAATGTGCCTAGCTACAGACTCAATAGTGTGTGTGTACATATATATATATGAGGTCTGATCAAATAGTATTAAGACTGTTGCTATGGTAATAGAGCTAAAGTATGCAGAAAGAAGCCACTTGGCACAGACTGACCTTGAACTCTGTTGTGCATACACACTATGTTATGTTCTCACTCACTTCTTTTGTTTATAGCAGTGGTTGGGAGGAAAGTGGGTAGAGTGTGGTTGTCTCATCACACTACAGAGGTGCCATCTGTGACCATGGCTTCTGCAGCAGTTTTTGGCCAAGCAAAATATTCCTCAAATCTGACGACCACCATATTGCCCAGATCTTTGCTCCTTTGTGACTTTTTCCTCTTTAAAAATCAAATCCTACTTGAAAGGAACAAGATGTTGAGGAAATCCAAGAAAATGCAATGAGGCAGTCACTTGCTATTTCAAAAAACAAAAAGAAGTTCCAATGGAAATGATGCTGGATAAAGAGTGTGGCTTCAGAAGGGAACTACTTCGAAAGAGATTAAATGCTGAACTGATATGCATTGTAGTTTTCTTTTGAAAGCACCAGTGATGATACTTTCTGATCAGATCTTGTATACAATGCATTCATAATCAATTACTTACCAAATCCACCACCATTAAACTGAGATTTTTCCATGTCTAATGTCATCCTGATGGAAGCTTCTCTTGATGCATGACGATTGCCGCGCCGATTACCAATGCTATGGATTATTTTGATATGTTCCAATTCACTCTGGAATCTCTGAAAATATCTAAAATAAATTTTGATTAAAAGCAAATAAAATATTTATGGCATAAGAATTAGCAAAACTATCTATACTTAAAATTATTTTAAGAAAAGGGAATTGAATATTACAGCAGTTTATGTTGAGGATAGGCCAAATGTTGTACGTGATCAAGTTTCATTTTACTTTTTGGAACATTTGAATTTCAAATAGAGAAAATTGTTGGTCAAATACATTAGTCAGTTTAGTATGGATTGTGTGTGATTTATTTTGTTTAGCCAAATAGGTGATGGGGGACTCCCCTGTGTGTAATTTGAAATCGTCTGTATAGGTGTGTTGTACATGGGTTTTTGTCTGTGTATCTAGAGCAGCTGAAATGAATTGATATGATTGGTAATTATCACCACCTCTTTTCTAAGAAAAAATTTTTTTTTTTTCTCCTTAAAATTGATCTGTTTACAAAAGATGAGTTCAAACATTTGAATATTAATGACTGTTCACCCAATTATGAACAAAACCTTTCATGAATTCAGATTTGAGTTCACAAAGTAAAAGAAATTGAAATTTTATTAAAATTATGGGTCCCATTGTTAATCATGGCTGAAGTCATTTTTATTTTCTACCTTCACCTTTTCCTTTACTTTGGGAGGGAAATTGACAATGCTTTCAGATTTCTTTTAATTTTCACCATTTATAATTTTTCATCATAAGCACATCCAAAAGAGGAGCTCAGTTTATAAATTCACTGGAATACAAGACATAAAGTCTATTTTAAATGTATGAAATTAAAGTAGAAAGTTCATTTAGACCCCTCTATTGTAAAGCTTTTCACTAGAGAACTGCATAGTAGAACTATTGGTTGAAAAATGAAGAATCAATTTAGAACTGAACTACGATACAAAAGTCCCCCACCGCCCCAACTTATATAAATGGATAGAACTAAAGTCAAATGATGGAACTGGGTATCAGAAAAATAAGAAAAAAAGGGAAAAAGATCGAAAAATGATTCCAAATTTTGTGTGACAAACAAAATCTTCTGCAATATTATAGACATTTCTTGTACGGATTATTTGTCCTCAATTTTATTCAATTCTAAATTTACTATTTCTTTGGATTTTCTTTCTTTTTTTCTGGTTTGTTTTTGTTGTCTTGAATTTCTGTTTGATTTCTATTGTGGGTTGACAGCCAAATCGCATTGAGACATTAAGTTCTCATCTGATCCTTGAAGTTAAACAACATTGAACCTGATAAGTACTCAAGATAGGTAACTGCTGAGGAATACCTGGTGTTGTAAGCTATGTGACAAGCCTAGAAAAATGATGGATACAATCTAGCTACTTAACAGAAGACCTCAATAAGGAAGATGCTTCTGGAATGACAGGTCACATGAACTACCTGGAGCTAGGTGAATGGTAAGTGGAGTGAATGTTCTTAGACAAAATATTTCTAAACAGATCTGTGGTAGCTGTAAAAGAGTTGTATTCTTTGGTGTCACAGGTAAAATTTTGTTAAGAAACATAATTAACCATTGTCATGATTACAAACTTGGTCATATGACAAATAAGTATGAGATACAAGAAATTAAAGTGTCTTGCAATATTGTGTATTTTCTGGTTTCTACAGATGACTTCAAACTTAACAGCATGGAGAATAGGGGAGTTGAGTTCAAATTCTGACTGAGACAATTTGTATTCACTTTAAACTAATGCTCTTAGAAAAGGCATGAATCCATCTTTCCACTCTTGTCCCAAATACAGGCAAAGTAGACTGGGTTCTCAAACCTTGGTTGGCAACCAGTCTAGAACAATTCTGAATTCAAACCTCCACTGGCTTGTTGCCATATTGACTCAAAGGAAAAGCTTTGAGAGTAGATCCTAAAGTGCTGAAACCTAATCCTGGAACACAATCAGCAAAGGAAGGAGGAGTTCCTGATGGAAAAACCCTTTTGCCAACTTGCAGGCCAAGCATGGTAAGTATGGCAATATATTTAATAAAAAACTATGTAATCATTGATGTCCATGCGAGAGACCTCAAGAGATTCTTTAGAAGTGAGAAATAGTGAAATGATGAGGAATTTTCTTGCCTTGGTTTAAAGAAAAAACAAGTTAATGTTATATTATTTAAACAAGTTTCTTTATTTTACTGCAGGAATAACAAGATAACAACTAACATAATCAACAAAAAATGCATATTCTTTACTACAAATGAAATACAGTTAGAAATGGCAAATTATTTAATGTGACACTTGTTTCTGCTTATTGTACGATAACTTCTCCACATCAGGTGAAATATTTGTCGATGACAGGAGCAAAACATCATCCAGGTGGTCATCATCCAACATTGTTCTTAAACAATTTTTAGTATATTTCATTTTTGGAAAAAGTTGTTCACAAGCATATGTACTTCCAAATAAAGATACCACTATTTTTGAATCAGTCAATGGCCTTTTAGATTTACCACTGGACAAAACATATTTCTTGTAGAAGTCAGCAGTGGATTCAGAATGAAATTTTGATTTAAAAAATTTGTTGCATTGTAAGTCGATTAACTCCAACTGATATTTTTTTCTGCCACTTGGCACCACAAATGAATAATGATCATTAGTGCCCAGGTGTAAAGTTGATGGTGGGTCAGACAAAAATCTTTCATGGTCTAGATAGGGCTTGTCAACCCCTGTTATAAGCAATCAAGAGATTAAATCTCTTCAGTAACCAAATTTTCTGTTGATTCCAAACCCTATTAGTAAAGACGGCAAAATATTCCCCCCCCTAATTTATAGGCACAAGCACACAAATGGATGCTGGGATTCTTTCCTAGCCAATAAAATAGGATGGTTCTCGGTTTCATCTCAGTCATAGTCTGTCTTGTTTTGAATTCGAACACTACGTTCACCTGTCCAAACTTGCTTTTTTGTTTGAACTGCAATTCTTGGTTTGTGAAATTTTTGCCTTATTACCATTAATTTGCTTTGCATTTGTTGTTTGCTTGCTTTATATTATTTTTACCCTGTTCTTTACTTTTCTTTTTAATGCTTATTGCAAATTTTGTCAATTCTGTTTGTTGGGCAGTTTTGTTACTTATTTTGCATTTGAGCATGGCTACTCACTTCTGACTAACATATCAGTTTTTTTTTTTTTACTCATCTCTTGGCATCAGTTTAAACTGATGCCTTATATATATATATATATATATATATATATATATATATATATATATATATATAGACACACACACACACACACACACTAAATAAAGGATCAGAACTCATTTTAAAATGCAAACATAAAAACAAATTTTACTATATTTACTTAAAAATCGAAAACTGAAAAGAATAAATAAAAATAAACAAAAACAATTAACATAAATTAATCCTAATAAATAAAGTAAATAACAAATTAACAAAGCACTCCCTCCAAAATAACCACTAGAATAGATTACCCACAATGTCTCACTGACCTGTATATATAAATAATGGAGAAAAACACATGTGGTCTGTTTAGCATGAAAGAATGTTGTCTCTGAGTGTTGACTTCAATGTCCACTTTTATATCTTATATTTACATACACTTTATCTCTGATATTGTGCACTTTATCCTATAAATATAGCATACCTTAAAACTATATTTCTTTATATATATATATATGTACATACATAAGTGTGAAGCCTATATTTTATATCATAAAATATATCATAAAATTGCTCACTGAAGATGACAATTTGAAATTGTCAAAAGTACTTAGCATGTGCCTTCCATCTGACAACAACTCGAATATAAGGATCTTATTATTCAAGGAATTGATAGTAAGTTAATGTCTCATTAAGCCATGTTAACATTGCTATTTAATTCTTTGTATAAATTGTTTCTTTATGAGATATATATATATATATATATATATATATATATATATATATACACACAACACATACTATAACTCGGAAAGTGCAAATCTCACTGAAATATGTTGCAAAATGTTCAAGAAATCAAGAAAATACAAAATAAAATGGTTAAATCTAAAGACAGCATCAGTATTAACAAGGAGGATATGAGTAAAACATACACATCATTCAATGCTTAAATCTGGACAAAGATTGTTTTAAACATTTTCTTTTTTACTATATTTCCCATCATGTAGAGCAATCTACAATCTTTTTCAAGGAGTTATATAAAGTTGTTGATATTTTTAGGCATGTAACAACAAAAAAAAAAGAAGACAAATATAAGACAGAAATGAAGAGTTAAACAAAATAGAAATAAGTTGCTATATGGTAAAGGAATAAGAAAAATAACTTACTTTTCAACAAGGTTAGCCAATTTAGCTTTTGTGTTAATTTCAATTCCAGTTAAAAGTTCTGTCTGAAACCAACTGATTTTTTCCGCTGAAAATAAAAAATGGAAAATTATAGAAGACATGAATATAAGGAATATCATCTACTGCTGTCAGTCAATCTCTCAATTCTTTTCCTCTACTCCATATTCTACTTTACCGTTTCTTAAGCTATCTCCTTTGTCAACTTATTCTATTGCCTTCAAGCCTAGCCAAGGTCTTTTACTTGCTAGCCTTCTATTATTTATTTAAAATGCAAGTGATGTATGTTAAGCTGACATTCTGCTACAACTTCTGGGTCCCAATATGAAAACAAGCAGCACGAAGAACAATCATGTTTGGAAATCTGCAAAATCTTCAAGACTTATTTCATTTTTTGCTTTGAGTTTTCATGAGTTTGATTGAGTCACATATATTTGATATATTTGTATACCTTTATTTTCATAAAAGTAGAAGTAGTTTATTATATTTTTGAATGCCTATGAACATCCAGATATCAAACTATCATGATATATATGTTTTGCAACTTTTTCATGAAAAAATAAAAAAAAAAAAAAAAAAACCCTCAAAAAACATGATTAAAAATGCAATATATGGCAGTGATTAAATTTTAATTCATAATATGAAATAAAAGTACGAAGCAATGTGTATACCTAAAATGTCCAATTTTGAGCGTCTTTCAGATTTGCTCCTAAAAAACAAAAAAAGAAAAGGGTTATTTAAAAACCTTACTAAAAATTATTTTGACATGTGCTCAAATTGAAAAATACTTAAATAAACTGAATTATGACAATAACACTTTTTTTTTACCATTTCACCCCAAGCAACGCAATAAAGCCACTAAGATGCAAAGGGTTACTGAGTGGGAGAGAATATGAAAGCAAAAAAAAAAAAAAAAAAAAAAAAAAAAAAAAAAAAAAAGAAAAATCACTATTAAGGAGATGGAACAATAAAAGAAGAGGAATTAAGGAGAGCTGCTCTCAACCTATTTTAGTGAAGTGAACTTATATGATGAGAAAAGCTTGGAAATTGCATTTTTTCAAAATTTATAATTAGTTACTTTTTTTGTGGGGCACAAGGTTAAACATTGCTGAAAATGCATTATATTAAAACCTTCAAGAAATAATTGACTTGGCTCAAATCAGAAATAATACTTTAATAGTTACGCCTTAATTAAGAAGTCATATTTAGAATCCTTTCAGTTCATGACAGAAAAATTAAAAAAAAAAACCCAAAAAAACGGAGAGCCAACTTGAAAATTTCACAACAGGAGGAGGATCATAATAAGAATAATATGAATGGGATGGTTATAGCTGGTTAGAAAATACAATGATCAATAAGACAGAAATGCACTTGAATACTGAGTTAGTATATTAGAGACGGTGCTTTTCTGTTAAGGGACATACTGTGTAATAATAATCATATCTTTATTACTGACCTTGCTCACTCTCAGTAACAAAGACAGTAAATTTAGAAGCAGTAAATTCTTGAACTTAAGAGTTTTAAAACAAAAGCCAGGGTTAGCATTATATCTATGACAATTTTATAAACTCTGGAGATGTTGGAAATTTTGAGATGAGGAATTATCTGTAATTATATGCCTTTTCATCCAGACTAATATACTTATCTTGGATTTTATTATCACAATGTTTTGGCCATTGTACACTGGAACCTTCTTCAAGTTCTTGTTGTAATTTTGAGAATTTCAAACTGAACCATTTATAGAGGCAGATTCTTCTCGTTTCACTTTCAATGCTCAGGGGAGATAACTTATATCAGAAAATACCATTTAGGTTAAAACATGCCTGGTTCCTGGCTAAAATGTTGTAAGAATTACCATCAAGATGAGTATAATAATATAATCTGAATGCATATAATCAGCTCTGAAGATTTGTAACTTATGCTATCAATCCTAATTCTATATTTTTAATTAATATCACCTAAAGAAGTGTACAACAGCCGAAAAGTGAATATAACAATAAAGATGAGGACAACAGTCTGATTAATGTAAATAGTATGAAAGTTAACAAGAAAAAATTCAACATTCAAACGTTAGGCAAGTGTACTGTTAAGAAATTTATTTCAGAAATTGTGGTCTGCATTATATAGGTGCAACATCACAGAAATGAGAAAGTGTAACTTCAGCATTATTCAGTTTTAACCATAGAGTATCCAGTTCAGCTGTCATCCATCTGTAGACATTTTTTAAAGGCATTTCTGTTTGACATTTTGTGTCTATAAGAAAACTTAAACTTACCAATTGTGTTTTATGTTTTAGAAGATATTTACAAATTTTTATGTAAAAATTTTACATGACAAATCTCACTGAAATATATTAAAGATTGAAAAAGAAATTAAACAGTCCTTGCTAAAATGAAAATTTAACTGAAAAGTAATAAAAAATGCTCAGTTACTTTTGAAGCCTTTTGTCATGAAAAATGTTTCTGGCAAGAACCATAGCTTTTCTACTGTTGGGATGAATTGGTTTCTTGTTCTGACCAACCTTCGCTTTTGGTGCTTTTGGCAAAAAAAAAAAAAAAAAAAAAAAAAGAATTACTAAAGTAAAAATTAGAAGACAGTACAAAAGAAGAGCCAGCAAAAAGATTTTAAACTTATGGTGTAAATAGGGAGTATGAATATATCAGAACTGAAAACAACAGATTTATTGGCGAGAATCAAGAAGAAAACTGATTAAACTGGGAATGGCTTGGCAACCACAATAAAAAAAAAAGAAAAATCCTCCTCTTGTCTTAGAGATGTAGATTTGTTGACTATTGATAAGGTCCTTTAGTATAAAATAAAACACTGACCTGGGAGAAGGTGAGAGTTTGACAGTGAAAGTGTAACAAATATTAAAGTGGTGTATACAATCCCTGTAACTGGGAAAATGGCTGTCACCCAGTGATTTTTTCCCTCATTTTCTCTACAAAAAAACTTTTACATTAAAAAAAACATAAAACCATGTCACTTCAATATGTTGGTGATCATGGCTTTCCATAATTGTCTTTTTACTTTAACATCTGTAAATTGCAAATCACTGCAATTGTTCTTAGAAAAGGGAGTGAATTCCCACAGCAGTCAGAGCTGTTGGCACTATTGTACAAAAGTGGACGTGTATGTACATGTACCAAGTTGTCCTTCTCCTCCAAAGATAAAGAACACAGTTCCTTCTACTATTTTACTCATAGCTTTTACATAATTCACAAAAAAATATTGTTTATTAATCATCTTTGAATATAACCACAGATTAGCATATCTGCTTGTAGAATTTTATGATTAATTTGTTTTTTTTTTGGCTTATCGACCTTTTGCAGGTTATTTAAAGCCAGCATATATTTTTAGATTGTAAGAATATTTTGGAGATAATGATGATATACTGATACAAGTCCTACTACTTAACTTAACCCATAACTTGAGGGGAGTAGAGGTGGAATTCCGACTAGAATTGGAACTTGGATCTCAGATTTCCAACTGCAAGCTGTTTCATTACCATCTGCACATCCAAGCATACAGCACCTAAGTCATTCTTTCATCTTTTTTCCTTCTCCCTTTCATTTCATCCTGCTTTTTATTACTTACCCACCCTCTAACTTTCCTCCTTTACACTACTGCCCCCAATTTCGTCTTTGTGTAGAAATAAACAGTTGGTGGTTAAATTATGTGCACAGATGATACACTGATCCGAGTAACAGAAAACAACATTATGGATCTAAGAAGTAGGATCCGCAGTTACTTTGTTCGTAGGTAGAATTATCACGCTAGAGAAATGACCATTTTTAAAAACCCAATGATTTTTTAATGGGTACTACTTTTTTAATTTTGAGGTGCATTATTTATTCAACTGAATAACAAACATTGTTCTTTTCAGAGAATATGGTATTCAGACTTGTTTTCTAAACAGAAAACAAAAACAAAATAAACATACTGTGATTATTACTTAGGAACTTTTATCAATTTTAGTCAAAGTTATTTCCTATCAGGCAATATTGCTCTAATTTTCTGAAAAAAAAACTGGTTTCGTTTACCTGCGCTAAAACGAGATTTTTTAGACTTAAAAAAAATGCACAATTTGGTAAAAATTCTCTTGTAAACGATCGGATAGCTATATAGCATCATCATATGATAAAACCTAGAAAATGGGTAAAGTTTACGAGCATACAATTAAGAAAAACAAAACAAAACAAAAAAAAACAGACTTTGTAACTTGTAACCGAACGTAACAAGTCTGTGATAACACCACGATCCATAGCTAAATTTTTTTAAATAAAAAGCCTAAAAAATATCAATCCGTCTTCTTAGTAGTTTCGTTTTTTTTGTTTGATTAACATTTAGTAATGAGTCTTTATTTTGCTTTTTAAATATTTTGTCATTTAATTATTTAATTTCCTCAATAATGAAGGCGCTGTTATTAACATTTTAAAAAACCGTATGATTATTTTATTTTTAGTCAGCTCAACAGCCCACAGCCACAATTAAGGGCATACAGACTTAGTGAGGCTTGAACTCATTACTTTTTTTGCGACTTGTTCTAAGTGACTATATTACATTAGGTCACTACGTGAAAATATTTCAGTTTTTTTTATAAACAACCATAAGGGCATTTTATTTACTTTTAATGTTAATTTAATTCATGTGTTGATAATAGTGCGTGTGTATTTTTGCCATGATCACGAAGTGAAACTGTAGCTGAATTTATGTACATTTTGTTAAAAAAAAGTAAAACTTTCTTTAAACTGAACAATCAAAATTAATTTTACAATGATCATCTTTTTTACACATACATGCCTTGAATATTGTTTTTTTTTAGGCTGATGATCTACCGATCGACAAAAAAGAAATCATTAATCCAGGTTGACATTGACATAATCTGGTTCTAAAGCCAAAATGACTAAATAAAACAAATAAGCGATCAAGAAATAAAGAAGAAACATTTTATTTATGATTTAAATTAAATTAACGAGTTTAGTTTTAACTTTTTGTTTCTCTTCTGTAAAAAAAAAACAAAGTGGACACGTGGTTTTTCAATTTTATACTTACCATTTTTTCAAATATTTTAGTTTCCAGTTATATTAGATAGAAAAAGATGAATGCACTTCTTCGATTGTATAGCCTAAATGATTAGTGCCAAAGTTTTTAGCAGATAAAAATAACAATCATTAGCAACTACGTCTTTAAAAATATAAAATCTTGAAGCATGAATATTACCAACATGATTCCATGATACACAAGGGAAATAACTCAGCCGTGCACAATCTGCTATGGGCAGATAATCAGAGAAGATGCGCTTTAATTCTATTTAGCGTGGTTCCTTTTATGGTTTTTGTTTTTTTTGTAATATTGGGAACTCCATAATGATCTACAAGACCAGTTTGTTAATCGATGAGGTGCCCAGATATAAAAATATATATTTGTTATTTCTTCATAAATCTTAACATTTTATATTTAGTTTTAATAAATTTTTTTTTAATAATAAAAAAAAATAACGTAGGCGTTTTCCAGATTCCTTTTCTTTTATTATCTGTGAATTTCAATAATTTCTCGGGAAAGATAGTATGATTTGCCATTGCCTTCTTCTATGGAGAAAGCAATGATCCTACTTTGTTCAATAAAAAGACTGCTGTTTAGCGGATCAGAACAGAAATAAAGAACTGTTGAGAAAGCTATCAATAGTTGAGGAAGAAGGCATTAGCTTCCACACTTCAAGAGGACTGGTCCAGGTGATGGGGTCATAAATCAACACAGGGAAAGAAAGAGCTAACAAATTCAAGGAAGATTCAAACCCCAGGACAGAACATTCCTTTTGTGCCTTCCTGAGAAGAAATTAGTTTTCAAGTTTAACTTTCCAGTTAAGTACTACAAAAAGCCCCCGAGATAACAAGCTGTGAAAACATGAAAACCCCTTTGTGCTGAGAAGTCCTATTATTGAGTACTTAGTTAAGAATGGAGGTGGGTGCGTTTTGTATTTTCTACCGTGTGCAATTTTTGGCTTCCTCTAAGTTTTTCTTTTTTTAAAAATCTTTTTTGTCTTTAAATGTGTCTTTTTCTAAAAATTGTAACTCATTTTTCCTGATATCTGATGGTTATCCTCTTTTTGTAAACTCAGAGAGTTGTTAACTTGCTGTAATAGATGCACAAGCGGAAATTTGTGTACAACCATGTATTGTAACTTTTTTGTAATATTGTAAAATAAATGTGTTTTTACTTTTTAAAATTTTACACAGTGGTCTTGTTTTGTAATTTCATACCTATTATAGTGACTTACTGTTTCTACTAAGTTTTGTGTCTGGTCAAGAACTTGGGTTTAGTGGGAAATAAACAATTTTATACATGTTAAATTAATATTTATGCATAATATTACATGAAAAGCTGAAACAAAATATTAAGAGTTTTTGGTGTGCATGGAACAAAATATTACATATTGATTGATTTTTGATTAAACATACAATTGCTTACATAACTGATTCATATTATTCACAGAACATATATATATATTGATTTGTATGTATGAATGCAAAGAAAGAAATGGTTTTAGGCTTACCTGCATGAAGAGACATCTTTCTTGTGAGATCATTTAAGAAAACACATCTTTCTAATCCAAAAGTTGGCGGTCAGAGAGAGAGAGAGAGAGAGAGAGAGAGAGAGAGAGAGAGTGACTTTGTATTTTCATGCCAAAATTGTCTTTCTAATTTCCTTCCCCTTCCTTTACTATAACCTAACAAACTTTTGCTTCTTATTTATGAATCACTACAATATGAACACAAGAAAAATTGAATAAAAAGCTTAATTGCGGCATCTTGTCATTTGTTTTTAATAAAACTTTATAAAATATGGATTTTCTGCCCAAATACACTATTATTATATGTAGGAAAGTAAAAAATGATATGCACTCTGTTTTTTTTAATTTATTTACACAAAAGCAGCAGTTAAACAAGTATGTCATTTTTCTACATCGTCTCCATCTTTTTCAATTCATTTTGGGACAGCAGTCCACAAGCTTGCATATTCTCTCCAAGAAGATTTCTGGTTGATCACATAACCATTTATGCACTGCTTCCTGCACTTCTTAAACTGTAGGAAATTGATAACCTCATAAATCATCTTTGAGCAGTCCAATGAGATGATAGTTGGAAGGTGCAAGACTGGGCTGTACATAGGGTATTCCAGCACCCAAAATCCCAAGATTAATAGTTTAAACAGTCTGGCTGTCCATATATGGGCGTAAATTGTCAAGCAACAATGAAAATTTCTTCGACAATAGGCTTTGGCATTTGGTGCAAATTGTGAGCTTCAGTTTGCAAAGCACTGTATTTTGCACTATTAATCATACACCCCTTTTCCATGTAGTCTTCTTGTAAAGGCCCTTTTGAGTCCCAAAAAAGTGGTTAGCATCAAATTTCCTGCCAAAGATTGAGTCATGAATTTCTTCTTCGCTGGTAAACCAGTGTAGGAATCCTTCTA